TCCAGTGTTACTGCTTCAAGGACACTCCCGTGACTAGCTCAGAGCCTGACTATAAGCTCCGGGAGTGCTGCACGCCTCTCTCATAGTATGTATCCCAGCTGTAGTTCCACAAGTGTGTGGTTTTTTGTTGTTGTTTTGAGACAGAGTCTCACTATGTTGCCCTTGGTAGAACACTGTGGCTTCATAGCTCACAGCAATCTCAAACTCCTGGGCTCAAACAATTCCCTGGTCTCAGCCTCCCAAGTAGCTGGGAGTACAGGTGCCCTCTACAATGCCTGGCTATTTTTAGAGATGGGGTCTCACTCTTGCTCAGGCTGGTCTCGAACTCCTTAGCTCAAGCAATCCACCCATCTTGGCCTCCCAAAGTGCTAAGATCACAGGCGTGAGACATAGTGCTCAGCCAAGTATGTGGTTTTTGATCCTTGTTAGAATCCTCCACTGGACTGAAAACACCACAAAGGGCAGGGAAAAGGCCTGGTTTTATTCGAACATTGTATCTCAACTGGAAGTTGGTAGGTGCCAAATCATTATTTGTGAATGGATGGATGATTCTGGGCATAATCTGCCTCCACAAGCAGAGAGTAAACTTCCTGGAGTCTAAGGCAGTCAGGAGAGGCAGAACGAGCAGCAGACTTGTCATCAGAAGGCTTCCATTTCTGCCCCTAATGATATGAACTTGGGCAAATCACATCCTCTCTGTTTCCTCATCTCTAAATTGGGAAAAAACATTTACCCTGCCGTTCTCTAGCAGGGATGTTTTGTGAAGCCATGAAGGCAGTTTTTAACTACATAGTCTGCCCTCTACCTCCAAGCTTCTAGCACAGTGTGGGGCTAATCATCCCTGCTTTGTCTATAAGAGTCACTCAGATGGCTCCTCCTTCAGGGAAAGGGAGATAAGATCTTATAATCCTCAGGGAGGGGTGCTCAAAGATCTGGGTCATAAAGGGACCAGGAAGCCTTATACTTTGCAATCCTTGTGTCTACTCTTTGAAAACCCTCATGGAATTTCTTAGACCAGCAGTTCTCAACCCGTGGATTGCAATCCTTTTGGACTGTATTAAAGGGTTGCAGCATTAGGAAGGTTGAGAACCACTGTCTTAGACCAGGTATCCTCAAACTACAGCCCACAGGCCACATACAGCCCACCAAGGACATTTATCCGGCCTGCTGGGTGTTTTTGCCACTGCTGCCTGTCCTGCTTAGCTGCTACCTATCCTTTTTTTTTTTTTTTTTTTTTGAGACAGAGCCTCAAGCTGTCCCCCTGGGCAGAGTGCCGTGGCATTACAGCTCACAGCAACCTCCAACTCCTGGGCTCAAGCGAGTCTCCTGCCTCCGCCTCCCAAGTAGCTGGGACCACAGGCGCCCGCCACAACGCCCGGCCATTTCATTTTTTGGTTGCAGCCGTCATTGTTGTTTGGCGGGTCCGGGCTGGGGATTCGAACCCGCCACCTTAGGTGTACGTGGCTGGCGCCTTAGCCGGTTGAGCTATAGGCGCCGAGCCTACCTATCCTTTTAAACTATAGTCCGGCCCTCCAACGGTCTGAGGGACAGTGAACTGGCCCCCTGTTTAAAAAGTTTGAGGACTCCTGTCTTAGACTCTCAGGGCCTAATGTAGGTATATAAGGAAAAAAACCTCCTACTGAATGCCTTTCTTCATTCTCACCCAAAGTTAGGGCCCTTAGCCAGAAGAGGGGAAGGGCTGGAAAAGGAGTAGAGATGGGGAGATGCCGTTCCTGCCCTCCTGCTCTGCAGGCTGGCCTTCAGATAGGGATGGGGCTGGGTAGGAACAGTGCATGTGTCTTCTGGGACACAGTTCCTGGAACAATGTTCTGCAGGTGCATGTCCTGCACCTATACCTGGCAGAAGACATGAAGTCGCTTACTTTGTCTCTGAACTTTAATATTAGGGTAGATATTTACAGCAAAGCCTACGTACTTCCTCCCCTGGGCCTCAACTTACAAATGGCATCTTGGGTTTCTGTTTCATCTGTATTGATCAGGTATGAATGAGCCTAAGTCATTTCTCCTCTCTGAGTCCATTTTCTTCTTAGTTCCATGAAGATACTAGTAATGCCACTCACCTTTCTATCTTACAGAGTTCTTTTAAGCATTAAGTGAGGTCACTTGGAAAGTGAAGTCAATACAAATGAATGGTAATATTATGTTCTCCCAGGATGGTGCCTGTGGCTCAAGGAGTGGGGCATTAGCCCCATATACTAGGAGTGGTGGGTTTGGACCTACCTGGCCAAAAAAAAAAAAAAAAAATATATATATATATATACATACATATATATATATGTATATATATGTGTGTATATATATATAAAATATATATATATGTATATATATAAAATATATATGTATATATATGCATATATATATATATAAAATCTTCTCTGTACATCCTTTTTTTTTGAGACAGAGTCTCACTATGTCACCTTTGGTAGAGTACCGTGGCGTCACAGCTCATAGCAACCTCAAACTCTTGGGCTCAAGTGATTCTCTTGCCTCAGCCTAACCAGAAGCTGGGACTACATGCACCTGCCACCACGCCATTATTTTTTGTTGCAGTTGTCATTGTTGTTTAGCAGGCCTGGGCTGGGTTCAAACCTGCCAGCCTCAGTGTATTTGGCTGGTGCCGTAACCACTGTGCTACAAGCACTGAGCCATTCTCCATATATCTTAAATCCCTACTTCTGTAAGCAGGAAAGCACCATGCTAACTTAGTTATCCCTACTTAACTCAGATAGTAACCAAGATCTGTGTTCCATAAGGCATGGAGGCAGGAAGTGAGATGTGAACAAATCCATCATCATGAATCAATTATCAAGCATCTCCCCAGGCTAGCTGTGCTCCCTCTGGAGAAGGGTACACTAAGGGGTATTCATTCTCTAATTGTTTTAACAGCTTGGCTGCCCTGCCAGCACCCTCCCAGAAAACCAGGTTGGTGAGGGAAGGTGTGGAGAGAATAATTAACCAGCACCTCTGTGATTCTGGCTTCTGCAGAGGGGGTGGAAGGCTATACTATAGACCTACACCCCTGCAGGATGATTAATTCTAGCTGGATTCTGCAGCAGGGTGGATGAGCGCATGCTTCTGCAAACCATCCGGGATGCAGTACTGACTGGGTTCTGGTGCTCAGATGTTCCACCCAGCCAGAACTTCCTCAGTGCACAATCTGTTGAGCAGCTCTGATAGGGATTCACTGGGGTCCTGGCGGAATGCGGAGCCCGGGCCATCTGAGCTCCCACTCTCCAGCTGGAAGCTGCCCACCAGCTCCTGGATCCACTGTAGGTCTGCTGAGAGCTCCTGCCTCAGAGCTTCGAACTGGGTCTGCAGATGGTCCAGTTTCCTGGCCACACCTCCCAGGCTGGCCCCTGTGGCCTGGATGTCTTCTCTCAGGAGCTTCTTCATGGACTCCATCTTGCGGAACTCATACTTGAGCTGGGACAGGTCGTGTCGGGCACGCTCGTTCTCCTCTCGGTACCAAGCTTCCTTTTCATTGTAGATGGAGACCAGGGCCTCCACGTCATCCTGGACAGTGTCATGGGCCCCCGCCAGGGCACGGCATCCCTGGTCCACCAGCGCCACATCCTCCACCACACGGGCAAAGCGCTCGAAGTTGACATAGGTGTTGTTGGGGGGCATGCTTGAGTGGCACTTGAGGGTGTACTCCCTCAGGTGCTTGGTCTTCAGCTGAGTGGGCTCCGTCTTCTGCTGTTCAGGGGCTCTGACTTCTCCTTCTGACTGGTGGGTGTTCAGACAGAGGAACCAGAGTGTTAATTTGCTGCATGCTCCACAGGGCGGTGCGAGGTGCAGGCAGAAAACACACCTCCCACACACGCCTCCTTGGCATTTGCTACATGCAACAGGCCATAGGAAGAACCAGGGTGGGACAAGCACCCTCACAGACCATAAGAAAGGTCGAGGGGTGGGGTGGGGTGCTGTCTGCATGCTCACCTCAGAGGGATCCACAGCCATTAGAGAGGTTTCCATGCACACAGCATTTAGGGAATGCCACGCATAGAAGCAGGTGACAGCTGGGACTCTATGGCCCCCACTCAAGGGCTGGAGCACACAAAGCTGATGCAGGGAAGCGAGGAGCACCTCTGAGGCCTCGGCAATACTCAGCACACTGAGCAGGAGCACGGCAAGAGACTCCAGAGCTCTGTGCTCGGGGCCTACCACACCTGGAGGACCTTTGGCCTTGCCCATCCTTCAATGAGCAGATGAAGCTCATCTCCTGGACCCCTCCAGCCCTCCCTGTTCTCCATCTTCCACAGGTCTCACCCCTTTTATCTTCACACTCAGACCACCCTCACTGGCCTTCTCATTTAATAACTAAGGAGAACAAGAGGTCTGGGGACATCCCTGGGTGTGCATAGCTAGCTAGTCAGCAGAACTAGGGCCAGAATCCTGGTCTCTGAGTCTCACCCTCCCAAACTGTTTTTCACTATACTAGACTTCAAGACCTGAAAACCAGCAGTTGCAGGTTCAATTACAAGGTGAGTTAGGCAGGGATTCATCAGAGGGAAGAGGATTGCCTTGACAGTGGCTGCCTCTCATCCCTACCAGGCCTCTGTCTCGGAGCTCTGTTTCTGAGGCCTTGTGGTACCCGAGGAAGCCAAGAGACTGATTTGAGTGTCATCCTTGAGTCAGATCCTCAAAAGTCAGAAAGCAGCAGCTCTGGTTACAAAGTTGGGGTGTTTAGTTGCCATAGATCTCTCTACACCTGGGGAGTCCTGATTCCTGCTTTGAGAAGTGGTGGTGACATAGCCTCTGAAGAAAAAGATTTCAAGTGAGATTTATGAGCATTTCATTTTGTAAGTTACCTGAACCAGTGAAATGCAAATTTAAAGTAGTGTAAGGTACCGTCTGGAGGCCCTGTTAGTTTTCATCTATGCTTCAAAGTAAGTGTTTCAAGCAAAGGCCTCTCCACAGGCTGGCCCTGGCAACATAGCAGAGCCCCCTGCCCGTTGGAACGTATGGCCGTGCCCTTACCGTGATCCACGGGTGTCTGAGGGCCTCTTGGATCGTGAGCCGTTTCCTGCAATGAGGATTAGAAAACACTGATGACCCACGAGGATGGAAGCTGGGAGCAACAGTCTCCACTCTCGCTCTTTTTAGACCTATATTATGGCTTTTTGGACCAAACTGGTTTGACAGAGGATACAGAGATGGACAGGAATTGGCTGCATGCCCTGCACTCTGGGGAAAGTGGTCCAGGCAAACACCTCTGTAGAGTGACCTTACTACTCAAACTATCACCTTCATTTCCAGAGCCGAAAGGCCTAACACACTGTATGCTCTACTGAGCTTTCAGAATTCTCAGAAAGTCAGGTCTCTATCACTAAACTTCTGCTCTCTGTTCCATTCACCTCCCAGAGCCTTCCTCTGCCCTTTGCTGCTCTGTACCCAGGCAGGTGTCACTACTTAGCACTGCCCTTAGCCTGAGAGGACATGGCCTCTTGTCTGTTGGACCTCTGCCTGGCTCTATGCAGGCCATGCTCTGGGCACCTGATACCCTACAATTATTTGCCTATCTCTTGTTGACCCCACAGCCCACAGGGCTCACCTTGGCCTTGAAGAAGATGAAGGATTGGCACATCTCCCATTCTCCCACTGTACTGACCTCTCTGAGCCCACCTCCCCCTCACTGACTCCCAACCTGAATTGGTTTGAGACCCCTGATACTTTACCTTTTCAAATCTGAGTTCCAGATGCCTTTGGGACAGACTGCACAAGGTAATGATCTCTAAGGAAACCCAGGCTGACTTCTAACACACATACACACAGGGTTATTTACATTTCAGCAGGAGGAGAAAGCAGAAAGACTTTAGCAAACAAGATGAACGCCAAGTCTCAGCCAGTCCACACTTCCCAGCACCTGCCCAGATTAGATGACAATGGTGCAGATGGCAGCTGTGGCAAAGCAGGGACAGAAGGATGCATCTTTGAGAGAAGTGACAGGAGGGGATCAGTACCTGAGAAACCAGTGGCTTTCTCTGTCCTCTTACCGGGTCTCTTTAACCAGAAGCTTCCTAATGAAGTCCTTGGCCAGCTCACTCGTCTGGCTGAAGAATTCCTCATCAAAGTCGTAACTCACTGCTGTGATGTTTGCCAGCGTTTCCTGCTTTGTGTCTCCAAGGAAAGGGGATGCTCCACTCAGGCTGAGCACAAAAGAGAGGAAACCACATGACTGCGGGGAAGTGGATGGAAGTGGGGGCGATGGACTTGGGGAACCCTTACTCGTACTGTTGCATGGGCCTGGAAGGCGGCTAACCACACAACCTGCCCCCTCTGGGCAGCTAACGGGCAGCCTTTTCAACTGAGTCCAATCCAATACACTTTCATGGAGCTTCTATTATTTACTAAGTACCTGACAGAGACAAATTATGTCTTCGAGGGACTCAAACGTAGAGAGAAACACACAGACATGGTTCTTTGTAATCCCCAACAGAACAAAACAGAATGTAATAAGAGGCCAGAAAAAGAATGGGGCATATATATAGGAAAGAGGGGGGCCCATGCAGCTTCACGGTATGTGTAGTGTTGACATTTGCATTGGTTGTATAAGAGGTTGTCAGTAGTCAGAGAAGAGGATGGAAAGATCTTCCACGCTAAGGGAGCAACTTGAGCCTAAAAGGTATGAGCCACTGGGGACTAGAAGAGTCTGTGGGGCTCTCTCCCAGGGATTGTCCAGGATGTGTCCATCAAATAGTGACTCCCAAACTTACCCTCTTCTGACTCATATTCCAGTTGTTCTGGAATACTTCCACCCAGATGTACCACGGTCCCAGAACTCACTGCACCCAGACCCTACTCCATGCATTTCTGGCCCTGGTGGACATCACTTCACAAATGTCAACTGGCCAAAGTCTTACATGTTAGATTTAGTATATGTCTCTTGAGAGTCGTGCCCATCTCTACTGCCACTTTCTTAGCATGGTGATGGCGAAGTATACCGGGGAAACTTAGATATTTCAATCCTGGGTTTGAATCCCAGCTCAACCACTCATTAGCTTTGTGAGCCGAGGTAAGTTACTCAACCCCTCTGAGCTAGTTTCCTCATTTGAAAAATAAAGCAAATAAAAGTCGCCACCTCACCTGATTATCGGGAAAAACACATATATACAAAACGCTTCATGCATTCTTGGCCCATACTAAGGGCTCTGGAATTAAAGCCCATTATTACTGTCAATATTAGAACACAAAGAACCTTCTATGACTCCCTATTTTCTCTATAGATCACATCTAAACTCCTGGACGTGGCATCAGAAGTTGGTCCCTTCCACATGCTCAGTATATTTCAACCACACTTAAGATGCTCACCATTCCTTGCCTCATGCTGGCTCCTCGGCAACATAGCCCTTCCCTGCCTCTCCACCAGGGAATTCATTCCTCTCTTTCCCCTCCACTGTGCAGCCAGGGCCAACACCCTCTGCCACAGCCCAGGGGAATCCACCACATCAATCCGGCAATCCAAGTGGTGTTGGGACATTCGGAGAACTGGTTTATAGGGGTCATTGAGAGGATGATCCCTCAGCGGTTGAACCCAGGTGTCCCTGCCCTCTCTGGCTGCCTCTCACATCCCTGAGGGCCGTAAACAGCCCTTCCCTGTGTGCTGCGAGGGGAGAAACAGTCGGGAAGCACTGATGGAATGAACACCTACTAACCCGCTGTGTACGTGCCGAAGTCAGTGCTGGGAAGTGTGCACATACGTGCTGGATTATTTAGCCCTCGCAACATGCCTGTGTGGGAAAGTTGTGATTCCTATTTTTCTGATGAAAAAAACAGGCCCAGAGTTTAAGTAGCTGGTCAAGGCCACAAGGACTGAAAGTGACAGTATCATAAGACTCCGGCTCCAAATGTAACCCACTGCACCCTAGAGCTATGCAGGAAATCTCTGCTGAAGCAACCAAATACACTTCAGGAACAGGAAAGCAGGAAAGAGAAAGGAAGAGAGAAAATATTCAAGAAATAAAAAGGGATCTGGGGAAAGGAAGGAAGAAGGGGAGAAAAAGAAGAGGCAAGATCAGGGAGGGCACAGGCAGCTTCGGGGCAGTCCTGAGGCTCTCGGTCTGGGGGAGGCGGAGCGAGGAGTCCTGTTGTTCCACGGTAGCAGCGCAGACATAGACTGTGCAGGATGGAAAGCCAAGGTTACTCTCCCGGGTTCCTGCTCAACCTCAACCCCAGGGTCAAATGTGGGAAACGGAGCTCAACCCACTTCCTTTAAAGTTTGCATGCGGTATGGACTTAACACATCTGGCTTATGGGGGGAGCTCAGTAAATGTCAATCTGTCTGCCTCTCTCTTATTCCTCCCAGTTGCCCTGGTACAAGCTATGTCAGAGGATACTGACAGGATCAGGGATACTCACAGGATGTAGGTGATGACGCCTATGCTCCTGCAAACAGAGAACAATCAAATCAGGCCACCGGGCTCTAAGCCAGCAAGGGATTCCCCCACATGGATCTCAAGAAAAGAGATCACTAACTTCCTCCTTGGCAGCTCCTGGATATTATCTCAAGCCCCACATGCCCACTCTGTTCAGCCTGGGATGCATTTGACGTCACTGAGCTTTGGACACTGAGTCCGAGGACCCAAGTTCAAGACCAGACTCTTCTACTTGTAAGCTCTATGATTTAGGCAAGTCCCTTATCACATCTGTGCTTCTTTCTCCTTATGAAATGAAGATAATGATGACTACCTCACAGGACTGTTGGCAAGATTTTAGAAAATCAGGTAATGAAGGTGGTTGGCCAACTGTAAAGCAGTGTTCAAATAAAACAGGCCCTGTTTAAGGGAATCAATCACTGTGCAATGGAGTACTCGGAACACATGAGGTTCTCTGTGATCACTTGGTTGACTGACTAAGCTGCTGTTACTATCATCTGCATCCTGGATGGGGCAGGCCCACGGTGAGCCTGCACCTCCATCTCACCTCTCCCCCTGCTCTTCCACTGCTGACAAACCTCTGACCCAGCTGGGTTCTAACTGGCCTCAGGTCTAGGCCCGTTGGCCCCCAGATGCCCAGGCTGCAGGTCTAGCACACCTGAAGCAACCAGAGGCTCTGTAAGGTGAGTGTGGAGAAAGGAGTTTCACAGTCAAGAGGATATCACCACAAGTAGGGTCTGAGGATTTCTACCGTTGGAAGGACCCAGGTCTTCCTAGGTGGCTTGTATAACTTACCACATGTCGGCCTCCAGACCCAAGGGCTCATAGTTCACAATTTCTGGAGCTGAAAGAAGTCATATTAAGAGTCAGCAGGAACATGAAAATGAGAGGAGATGATTCTAGGGAATTTGGCACCAAATATCTCCATCCTGAATGCCCAGTAAGGGAAATCAGAGCAGCAGATGGAGGTAATCTGCATCTGTGAATTCTGAGGAAAGGAGTGGCTTTGTCCCAGACGTTTGTGTTTCCTCAGAACTCATATGCTGAAACCTAATTGCCAATGAAACAGTATTATGAGATAAGGCCTAGGGCAGCACCTGTGGATCAAAGGAGTAAGGCACCGGCCCCATATACTGGAGGTGGCAGATTCAAACCCGGCCTCGGCCAAAAAAAAAAAAAAAACAAAGAGACAGAGCCTTTAAAAGTTGGTTATGTCACGAGAGTGGAACCTTCATGAATAAACTCACGCACTTATCCAGGAGGCCCGAGGGAGCTTGTTTGCCCTTTCTGCCATGGGAGAACCGGCAATAAGGCACCAGGTATGAAACTGAGCGGGTCCTCACCAGACTCCACACCTGCTGGCACCTTGATCTTGGACTTCCCAGCCTCTGGAACTGTGAGCACTCAATGTGTTGTTTATATAGAACCCAGTCTAAGGCATTTTGTTATAGCATCCCAAAAGGATTGAGACAGGAGTTGTCTGTATTCCCGGTAGAAATCTTTTACAAACAGGCCAGGACAGTGGGGAAGAGGGACAACATACCCAGAAAGGGCGGAGTGAGGGAAGTCCAGGGGAAATGGGGCCCTAGAGACCAGGCTTGCTTTAGAACTCTGAGGTAAAAACCAGTCAGGTCAACACCAAAGGTGATGTAGAAGAAACGGTGGCAGAGAAGGCATCCACCTTCCTCTGAGTCTGGTCTGAAAGAGGGTACCTCCCACCTGCCAGGCAGGAGGACCCTTCTGGGGGCCACTGAGATGATGACCTAGAGGTGCCTGAGGGGCAGCCATGGGAAGGGGCAGGCTATAGGAGGGTGGGCCGGAATCATCAATGTGCAAGTAGAAATAGGAGCTGAGCCACTGACACCACGACCAGGAGATGGTGCAGTGTCCAGGAGAGAAGACTCTACCAAGGAGAGGACAGAGAGGCCCAGACGCTTCCCAGAGATCCAGTAGGTGAGCATTGGAACGTAAGTGCTGAATTTCACACTCACTGCAGTTCAGATGGTAAAAAGTAGAGAAAAGACTGTAAATGACCCTTTTAAAAAGCTTATCAATTAAATGGAAGTGAAAGAGAGGGCAGAAGTTTGAGAAGGAGGAAGGACTAAGCCTGTTCAACTGCTAATGAAAAAGTAGACTGGGAGGCTCGGCTCCTGTGGCTCAAGCGGCTAGGGCACCAGCCACATACACCTAAGGTGGCGGGTTCGAATCCCCAGCCCGGGCCCGCCAAACAACAATGATGGCTGCAAC